AGTAAGAGACCAATTTTTATTGAACCTGAGGGTCTGAACTTGGGGTCTTAGAAGAAGCATGCTGAGCAAAAATATGAAAAATGTAAGCATGCATGATTTTGGAAAATGGTCTTTGCCACCATTTAATTTTTAAAGAAGCAATGAAAACTGAAGGTTAAAGTTTCTAGCAGGGAAATAGAATTTCAGCTCACCAGTTAGAGTTTCTTAAAATGCCATCTACCATTGGCCTTACTTCATTGGGGTCATCAGGCACACACTTGCTATAGGTAGGAGTGAGTGGGGGCATTTCCTTATACTTGCTCTGGCAATGGCACAGTCTAAGCTTTTTTTTTTTTTTTTTTTTTTTTTTTTTTTTTTTTTTTTTTTTTTTTTTTTTTTTTAACCAAGGCAGGACTAGACCTAATTTTTTTTATGTCTTTTAAAAAAATATATATTTTATTGATTTTGTACAGAGAGGAAAGGGGAGAGATAGAGCGTTAGAAACATCGATGAGAGAGTCATCGATCAGCTGCCTCCTACACACCCCCTACTGGGGATATGCCCGCAACCAAGGTACATGCCCCCCGACCGGAATCGAACCTGGGACCCTTCAGTCCCCAAGCCGACGCTCCATCCATTAAGCCAAACCGGTCTTGGCTAATTTTTTATGTCTTAAAAAAAAAAAAGTGAAAAGAGATAAAGCAAGAACTGCCCCTAATTTTAGCATCAAATTCCCTAACCATGGACAAGACAAAATGTTCTAACTTGACACAGTCCTCAGGAGTTTTTCTTTGCCTGCTGATTGATATTAATGGATTGACCATATCAAATATTTATGGGCCATGTGCCTGATTTGTGTGTCTCTGACTCCTGCCCCTGCCCAAAGTAATTCCTGAATCATGAGTAAAAATATAAATTATGTTTCTCTGAGTGATATACTTTTGTTTTGACTCGTGCAGAGAAACTGTTTCATTAGCTAAGTTAGCTAAAAACTTGATTTGTCTCTGGGCATACGAGGGGGCCCAGGGCCCCCTCATGGCCACTGGCCTGCCTGAGAAAGCTGCCCTGGTCCTTTTCTCTGGGAAGAAGATGACTAGGGGAGATCAGGCAGTACCTTTAGCACGGGTCCCTCTCTTCTGACAGGGAGAGCTGCCAGCCCTTTTCACCTTATTTTGGCCCCACTTGGGTAGAGTGACCTCCCACTGGCTCAGTCAGATCAAGACACTTACCCCAGCCTCCACCCCAAGCCGCCCAGTCCCTGCTAGAATTTGAACTCACGGTCCCGAGAGCAGGATGGATTAGCGTTCAGGGCTCCCACGCTGACTCTATCAAAGCTTTCCTCCGCACATTTCCATTATGTGCACGGCTCTGTTAACCAAACCTATTATCTTTCCCCCCTTGGTTTTCAAGTGGAGACAGGGAAAGCAACTTCTTTAATGGCACACAGATTGATGATTAACATTTTACACGTCCCTGCTGCTAAGTAAAAGAACTGCTTTGTGGACAGTGAAAACGCCTCGGAGAAGGAAGCGGGAGTCAACTTGGTTTATTAAGTTGTGCTGCTTCGTTAATCACCGTCGTTTTTTATGGCGGCGCTTAGAGGCCCATCCATTGTGCTTCCCGAGAATGGGGCGGATCACACACAAGTGCACCTTTGACATCTGGCATAGCAGCCGGCTGTCTGCACTATTGCTCTCAGGCAGTATGGGAAGCCGCAGTGACTGTGACCACGCTGGCCCCTCTGATTTAAGTTTCTGCAGAGGGCAATGAATTACCTTAAAGGAGCTTCCCTGCACAACTCTAAGTTGTGTGCCGGACCCCTGCCGGCTTCCCCACTTTATGAGTATGAACAATCAGACAATTGAACTGATTTGACTTTGCCACTCCTGGAGTTTCATTGCCTTGAACCTGGGGATGTAATGATGGCAATGCCACGCTAAGTGCCGCTCTGACTAGCAGCAGTGCCCGCTGCCCATTCAAGTAGGGCACCCATCCTTGTTAGTTGAAAACGGGTCTGATTTGCAGCGAGGGGGAAAATAGATCCCATGCAATCAGATTAACTCAGCTCTGAATGTTATTTTCATTTAACACGATGGAACTAGGCAGTGTCCCAATTTTTTTTCTTCCCATTGGAGTCTCATAGCACGGGTGCAGGAGGCACCTGCCAAGCCCGATGCAGACACACATATACACTCACATAACACATATATGCACTGGGTTGCAGACAGGTTCAGGCTCAATGAATATCGTTAACAAAGGGCATCTGGTCCAGGCATAACCAGAGAGCAAGTGACTTGTAATGCTCAAACTTAATGTCAGTGTGTACTCACTTTAGCTCTTTGTGTGAAACTGAAGACAGGCGCTAAGGTTTTGTTATTGTACACTTTCTATGTCAGAGCACACGTTCACTTTCAGGCTTTATATTTAAAATGAATTTCCTCTGACATCCTTTCAAAATACTGTTATCGCATTTGGAAGAGCAATGCAATGAGTGCTCACTATAAAAAAAAATCCAGTGAAGAACCCAAAAGAAGGTACAATTCACCCACTGTTACCACTTAGAGACCCCATATTATTAAAATGTATCCAGGCATCACAGTCTGTAAATATACACCGATTGATTGCCTCATTCATTCATTTTGCCATCTTTAAGCAAATTTAAATGTTGTTACAACAGTATGGAAAATGAACACACACATTTAAACAGAAAACTCTCGGGAATGTTCACATGCTTGCTGGACATTTGACTGCTAGACTTGAAGTCAAGCAGACATATCAGACAATTTACCCGTATTTTCCAGCGTGTAAGACGACCCCCTAATTTTACAGTTAAAACATAGGTTTAGGCCTATATTCGCTGTATAAGACTACTCCCACTTCAAAGAAAAGACTTACTTTGCCGTCAAGATCTGCAGGTAATTTTTGTGCAATTTTGGTCTTTTGCCCGCGATTTTCTGTTGACTTTTTTCATTTCAAAAGTCATTTTATACACCGGAAAATACGGTAATACCTATGCTTCTTCCCTAGCTGGTTTGGCTCAGTGGATAGAGCATTGGCCTGCAGACTGAAGGGTCCCAGATTTGATTCCGATCAAGGGCACATGCCTAGTTGTGGGCTCGATCCCCAGTAGTGGGTGTGCAAGAGGCAGCCAAACAATGATTCCCTCTCATTATTGATGTTTCTATCTCCCTCTCCCCTCTCTTCCTCTCTGAAATCAATAAAAATATATTTTAAAAAATAACTATGCTTCTGATGTCCCCCAAACCTACTTCTCTCACAGTCTCCCATATCAATCAATGCTACTCATCCTTTTTATTGCTAAGGCCAAAAATTTGGAATCATTTGGATTCCTCTTGTTTGACTCCATATCCAGTTTATTCACAAGTCCTCTCAGGCCTGCCTACAAAATGTATTCAGAACATGATCACTCCCACCATCTCCTATGTACCATCACTGCTCACCTGGTCTATTACAATCACATTTGTATTGGTCTCCCTAACTCCTGCAGGCAATTTGATTGAAACAACATACGTTAGAAATGCCCCATGTTTTTATGTCCTTCAAAAATGTGACAAGTGTTTTGGAAAGAGCAGACAGTGAAAACCAGATTGGTCTGTATTTGAATCCTAGTTGTGATGGTTACCAGCTGTCTGGCCTTAGAAAATTTACTTTTATTTTCTGAGTCTCTTGGCTTCTTCATCTGTAAAGTTGGGCTAATAATATCTATCTCCTGGGGCTGTCACACAGTTAAGACAATTCACATTAAGTTTTATCTTTTTGGATTAATTAATCCAATAAAAATGTATTATGCTGGTTCTTTGTATAAGATATAGTTCTATGCTCTAGGTATATAGCAGTGAACCAAACCTTGTGAAGCTGATGAACTAATTAGGGTGAAGGTGACTAACTGCCAAGGTCTGAGGGAACAGTTCCCAGAAGACTGCCCCCAGCATCAATCACATGGTTAGACTGCCTTGTGACCAAAGCCTGCAGGCAAAGACACCTGCATCAGGAAGGACATTCCAGGGGCTGGGAGATCATCTCAGTAGCCAAGGACAAAATCCAGACCTCTCTTTGGGTGAGGTTATTTATCACACACCAATTAGTAATATACAACAAATACCATGAAGAATTATGAAGCAGAGTAAGAGGATAGAGGGAGGTGGAGGTGTCTCTTCTTGTAGAGGGTGGCAGAGGCCTCTTCTGAAGCCCAGAGGAAGAGTGGGTGTCAGTCATGTGGACATTTGGGGAAGAGCATTGCAGGCAGAGGGAACGGTAAGATCAAAGGCCCTGAGCTGGCACATAGTTGGGAAGGAACAGGAAGGAAGTCATTTTAGTTAAGATGGGTGAGCCCAGTGAGTAGGCATTGGGTGGGGGTGGAAAAAGTGGTGAGTGGCAGGAGAGAAGGTAAGAGGCAGGAGAAAAGTAGATCCCATAGTCCCTTGTATATTTTAGATTTTCACTCTCAAGGAGATAGGAAGCCACTAGAAGAACTTGAGCAGAGGAAAGGAATGCATGACTTGGGTTGTGAAAGGTTGGGTCTTGGCCCTGCGGGGAGAATAGTCTGCCCCGAGCAAGAGCAGAGCAGGGAGCTTGGTTAGCAGACTAATGCAATATTGAAGGGCAGAGGTGAGAGTCCCTGGGAGAAATGGATAACATGACAGTGCAGAGGTACATGTAGTTAACTTCTACTAACTGCTGACATTTGTAGCTCTCCTCACCTTGCCACCTCCCAGAATCCAACCTGTCAGAAGTTTGCTCACTTTATAGTTGGTTTTTAGAAGGCAGCTTTTTGCTTATCGATCAACTCTCCTTAATTTTGACTAATTGCGCTTTTATCTACATTTTTTTCTTTCAATTTTATTTACTTTTTTAAATTTAAGAACCAATAACTGTATTTGAAGAAACGGTAACACTTGAACATGAAAACTTAACGTTTTGCAAGGGCAATATGACAACACGCATGCTGGGCACGGTGACAAGGGGACGTCAACCATGGCTCTCAGGAAGGCAGTCCAGGCTCAGCTCTTCTTGCTGGCACCCAGAGCGAGCTTGTCCAAGAGGTACTCTGCCAGGCTGGAGGTCCGGGCTCCCAGCTTTCGCAGCTCGCTGACGCTGGCTCCCAGGTTGTAGATGAACTGCACGTCCTGGCGCAGGAAGTGACGCGCCAGGAAACCGCGCAGGTGGGCGTCGTGCTTGCTGGTGGCCAGCTGGTGCAGGTTGCGCAGGCTCTGGTTGACCATCCTCGCCATCTGCAAGGCGCTCTTCACGGCCTTCAGGCCGCTCTCCCACTGGTGGTGGTCAGGCCCGCTGATATCTCGCAGGCGGATGCGGCCCCCTCGCCGGTTCTGCAGCTCCATCAGCGCCTGGGCGTGCTTCCACTCCTCCCTGGACTGCCACAGGAAGAAGGCGGCGAAGCGCTGCAGGGCCTGGTCCTGGCGGTCGAAGTAGAAGGCGATGGACAGGTACACGTAGGACGCGTGCAGCTCCAGGTGGATCTGGTGGTTGATGGAGGCCTCGCAGTTGTTGTGGAAATTCTGGCGCACCTGGGAGATGGGCCTCAGCACCACCACGGGAGGCGTAAGAAGCATGGGTGGAGGCGCGGGGGCAATGGCCGCCAGCATAGGCAGCAGGTTTTCCGGGGGCGGCCCTCCCGCCAAGTAGGTCATCAGGGCCTCGTGGCGAGGGCTGAGCGGCGGGCTGCAGGGCGGGCAGTGGCGCGGGCGAAGGCGCTGGCTCCTCCGGGGACGGATCATTCCCATGGCCTTAGAGGAGGGCAGCCGGAAGCTGAGTCAGCAGCGGTGGGGGCCTCAAAATGTCTCTGGGGGGACCCTACCAGTATGGCCGGAATCAGGGCTTCGTAGGTGTTAGGCTGAGGGCAGTGCCGGTTGGCTCTGCGGTGGCACCGGAAGAGAAAGCCTTGACACCGGAAGAGGAAGAGGTGACCTTTACTCGTGATTGGTGGGGGAGGAGAAGGGGGAAGTTGGAGGGAGAATCCCTTGGAGAGGGCAGTCGCCATTTTATTTTTGTTGACCTTATTTTAATTTCTTGAGCTGAATGTTGAGTCTTTATTTTCTAAAACATATATATTCCACAGGGGTCCACTTGCTTGCATCCCCTAAGTGTTGGTATTAAGTTGTTCACATTATTTTTGTTTCTAAGTCATTTGCAATTTAAGTTTTGACTTCCTCTTTAATCCAGGAATTACTTAGTTTATTTAAAATTTTCTAGGTGCTTTAATCTTTTTATTTATTTATTTATTTATTATTTATTTATTTATTTATTTATTTATTTATTTTCATGGTCCTTGGGGATCTTTATTTTGTTGCTCTATTTCTAAATTTTCCATGTGGCGAGGGACTTCTTTTGGGATTTTATTGAGAGTTTCTTTGTAATTCAATACAGAGCCAATTTTTATGAATGTTCCATGTGTTTGGAAATAATGTGCATTCTTTGTTTATTGGGTACAGAGTTAAATATTTATCTCTTGAGATCAAACTTGTTAACTGTGTTATTAAAATCTTCCCTAAATTTTCTTGAGAAAAAAAACCACACAAAAAAACAACAACAACTGTTTGATCTTCTGGGATCTGAGCTGTGTGATTTTTGTCCACGGTGGCTTTTTTAGTTTCTCCTTGGAACTCTGATTTTGCTTTATATTTCAAAGCTACATTGTTAGGTACATAAAAGTAGATGATTATGAAATCTTCCAAGTGGATTTATAATAAATAAAAACAAAAAACAAAAACAAACCAAACACTAAATAGTCCATATTATAATTTTATTGAATTTCATTTTGTCTGATTACTATTTCTACATATTAAAAAATAAATATTTTTGTTAGCATTTATCTAGAGCAGCTCTTTTCACTTTTTTATTTTTAACCGTCAATTTGTTTTAAGGCTCTTTTAAAAAACATTGTTTAAATTTGTTTCAAACCTGACTTGTGCCTCTATCTTTACGCATCTGTTATAAATTATCAGGAGGCATAAACTTATTTTTTAATAATTTTACTATCTTTTCTACTGTTTCTTTTTCTCCCTTTCCCTCCAGCAATTCAATGCATTAAATCTTTTTATTTTTGTTTCTTATTAGTAAGAATTTATGATTTTTTACATATGGATTCTGATTTTTATTGTTAAATTTGTTCACTGGAGTTTTGTAGTATTTACTAGAGTCCCAGCAGGTGAAATCTTGTATGGTAGCCTGACATGCTCACAGCCCCGCCCACTCACCCATCATGCTCGCTGCCTTGCCTGCTTGATGCCTGCCTTGCTGTGATATGAGCCTGTGGGCTGTGGGGGAGGGACTGAGAGATGCTCAATGCACCTCATGGTGACTGGTTGTTTGGTCATTCTGGTTGTCACGGATATTGGCTTTTTATATATAGACTAGAGTCCTGGTACATGAAATTCATGCATCAGAGGGGGGGTCCCCTCAACCCAGCCTGCACCCTCTCCATTCTGGAACCCTCAGGGAATGTCCAACTGCTGGGATTGGGCCTAAACTGGCAGTTGGACATCCCTCTCACAATCCTGGACCACTGGCTCCTAACCACTCACCTGTCTGCCAGCCTGATTGCCCCTAACTGCCCCCCTGGCCAGCCTGATTGCCCTAACTGTCTCCTCCCCCGCACCAGCCTGATCACTCCTAACTGGCCTCTGCCTGCCGACCTGATTGCCCCTAACCTTCTCCCCTCCCCCTGCTGGCCTGATCACTCCTAACTGCCCCTTGTGCCAGCCTCATCACCCCTCACTGCTCCCCTGACAGCCTGGTCATCCCCAATGGCTCCCCTAATGGCCTGGTCACCCCTGTCTCTCCACTGATCTGGTGACCCTTTAATGGTCCCCCTGCTAAGCTGGTCACCTTCAACTGCCCCCCCCCCACCTGCCAGCCTGATTGCCCCCAACAGACCCCCCACCTCTGCTGGCCTGGCTGGTCACCCCTCACTGCTCCCCCTGCCACCTGGTCACTCCACACAGCCTATTGTTCAATGTACTGGTTGTTTTGGTCATCACAGTCACTGCCTTTTTATATATTTAGATTACTGTAATGAATGAGATTTTTTCCCATTTTATTTTTTCCTAAGATAGTATTTTAAAATGTAAATTTTTGCACACTTATTATACATGCAGCTAACTAATTAAATTATCTTTTAAATTTGGATGGATTTTTGAAAAGTAGATTTTGGATTTTCTAGACACGCAATTATGTTATTTAAAATATAAAGATCTTGTTTCTTTCCCCCTAATATTTATACTCATTATCTAAATCTTTTTATCAGATATACATGGTTTTCTTCTATTCAGATATTAGAGGTTTTATTATAAATGTCTTTTTTGATAGCTAAAGCTGTAAATGTTTCTCCTTTAATTTATTCTAGTATAAATAACATGTATTTGAAACTTATTAGGTGTGACATTTAGTGTATACTTTTAAGAAACATTGTTTTGGCACTGCTGACACATGTAAAAAAAGGAGGGTAATATTGCCCTGGCTAGTGTGGTTCAGTTGGTTGAGTGTTGTCTCATGCACCAAGAGGCTGCTAGCTCGATTCCCAGTCAGGGCACATGCCCAGGGTTGCGGGGGCCCAATTCCCAGTAGATGACTTGCAAGAAGTAGCTGATCAATGTTGCACTTTCACATCAATGTTTCTCTCCCTTTCTCTCTCTTTCTCTCTCTCAAATCAATAAAAACATATATTTTTAAAAGGGTAATATTAATACAGTAATGTAATTTGACATATAATTTATTTTAGTGGTAAAATTTATTTATTTTATTTATTTATTTTAAATATTTTTTTATTAAATTATAATCTGTGTACATATTTTGACATTGCCCTCCCCCCCTCCAATACATACCCTCCCTCCCCAGAGTTTTGTGTCCATTGGTTGTACTTATATGCATGTATACAAGTCCTTCGGTTGATTTATCTCCCCCAGATCTCCCTCCCCTCCCCACTTTAATTTGACAGTCTGCTTGTTGCTTTACTGTCTTTATATCTGACTTTTGGTTCATCAGTTTATAATGTTCTTTAATATCCATAAATGAGTGAGGTCATGTGGTATTTCTCTTTCATTGACTGGCTTATTTCACTCAGCATGATGTTCTCTAGTTCTATCCAGGTTGCTGCAAATGATGAGAATTCCTTATTTTTTATGGTAGCATAGTATTCCATTGTGTAGATGTACCATGGTTTTTGGATCCAATCATCTGCTGACGGGCACCTAGGCTGTTTCCAGATTCTAGCTATTGTAGATTGTGCTACTATGAACATAGGGGTGCATATATCCTTTCTGATTGGTGTTTCTAGTTTCTTGGGATATATTCCTAGAAGTGGGATTACTGGGTCAAATGGGAGTTTCATTTTCAGTTTTTTGAGGAAACTCCACACTGTTCTCCACAGTGGTTGCACCAGCAGTGCACGAGGATTCCTTTTTCTCCGCAGCCTCGCCAACAGTTGTCGTTTGTTGATTTGTTGATGTTGGCTATTCTGACAGGTGTGAGATGGTACCGCATTGTTGTTTTGATTTGCATCTCTCAGATAATTAGTGACTTTGAGCATGTTTTCATGTGCCTCTTAGCCTTCCTTCTGTCTTCTTTTGAAAATATTCTGTTTAGGTCCTTTGCCCATTTTTTTTTAATTGAATCATTCATCTTCCTTTTATTTAATTGTATCAGCTGTCTGTAGATGTTGGAGATTAAACCTTTATCAGTGGTATTATTTGCAAATATGTTCTCCCATACAATGGGCTTTCTTGTTGTTTTGTTGATGGTTTCTTTTGCTGTAAAAAGCTTTTTATTTTGATGTAGTCCCATTTGTTTATTTTATCTTTAGTTTCCACTGCCGTAGGGGCAGTATCAGTGAAGAAGTTCTTTTGGCATATGTCTGAGATTTTGGTGCCTGTGGATGCCTCTAGTATTTTTATGGTTTCCTGTCTTATGTTTAAGACCTGTATCCATTTTGAGTTTATTTTTGTGTATGGTGTAAGTTGGTGATCTAGTTTCATTCTTTTGCATGTATCTGTCCAATTTTCCCAATACCATTTATTGAAGAGACTTTCTTGACTCCATTGTATATTTGTGCCTCCTTTGTCAAATATTAACTGAGCATAGTGATTTGGGTTGATATCTGGGTTCTCGATTCTATTCCATTGACTTATATGTTTGTTCTTATGCCAGTACCAGGCTGTTTTGAGAACAGTGGCTTTGTAATGCAGCTTGAAGTCTGGTATTGAGATCCCTCCTACTTTACTCTTCTTTCTCAGGATTGCTGTGGCTATTCGGGGTCTTTTATTGTTCCAAATGAACTTTTGGAGAGTTCTTTCTAGATCAGTGAAATATGCCATTGGTATTTTAATGGGGAGTGCATTGAACCTATAGATTGCTTTAAGAAGTATGGACATTTTGATGATGTTGATTCTACCAATCCACGAACATGGTATGTTCTCCCATCTGTTTACATCTTCCTCTATCTCTTTTTTCAGTGTCTTGTAGTTTTCCGCATATAGGTCCTTTACTTCCTTAGTTAAATTTATTCCTAGGTATCTTAGTTTTTTTGGTGCGATGGTAAATGGAATTGCTTTTTTAGTCTCTGTTTCTATAAGTTCGCTGTTGGTATATAGAAATGCCATAGATTTCTTGGCGTTAATTTTGTATCCTGCTACATTGCTGAATTCATTTATTAAGTCAATTAGTTTTTTAATGGAGTCTTTTGGGTTTTTTATGTACAATATCATGCCATCTGCAAATAAGAATAACT